CACCGTTAACGAGTTATTAACGAAAAACAGTGACCAATGAGAGACGAGCTCAGCTGGCGCGAGGCGACCGAGCCAATTAGCGGAACTGGGCTTCGTGCGCTGGTTGGCTGGGCCGCCTCGCGTCAGCCGTACTCGATTCTTATTGGTCACTGTTTTCCGAGGAACCCGCCATTTCCGGATTGCGAGACATTTTTGGGACACCCTGTATGTACATATTTACACACATGTTCCCCTGGATTTTAGACGTGCATCATAAATGCACATTGAAGATTGCAATTGTTAGACCGTGGATTTTTGTGGAAAATAAAAATCGTCTGCGTCGATTGCAAGGAACAGAGACTCATTGCGGCTCGTTTTTATAATTGTGGACAATTTATAACTATAAAAATAAACTGCAAGGCTCGAATAATCGTATCTCCTCTTCCCAAATTGTCAATTTTTGTGCGCAATCTGGGCATCAATTAGAGAGACATTACTGTAGTACTCGAGAAACGCGTGGAGCGCGATTGTGTACGTCGATTTTTATTAAAGTAACAATTTCTTTATCTAAAAATAACGCTAAAATGAATAGTTTATTATTAATTACTCAAATACATATGAACGCCTTTCGAATATCGAAAGTCAATAAATGAATTAAAACTGCGATTGCAGTTACTTGTACGTCATAAATGATCAATATTAAACATATAAAAAATGATGGGATTAATTTTTAGAACATCGCACACTATAAAATGTTAGATTTTATTACTTTCATAAAATACCGCAGAATTTTATGTAACTCAACCTTAACTTAACTTACCCTAACCTAACCCTAACTCAGCTTGCCTAATTCCCCCATAAATGCGTGCGGTCTAGTAATTATCTGCGCGTCTGAGATAGGAAAAGAAAAAAAACTCGCGTAAGTGATGGCATCGTCTAGTACCTAACCATCGGTGAGAACAGATTATTGAATTACCATTGGAGCAAAAAGCGTATTAATTGCAGTTTACGGCAACAGCATATCGATTATCTAACGTGGCACGATCGAATAGAATGATTGATAAATTAGTTCGCCGACGGTAATGTTAATAGACAATCTTAATAAATATAAATTATCCGGCAGAGGATGATAGATCAGAATGATCCGTTAATCGGTATGCCCCGTTAGCTTGTTTGTTGTTGACGATCGACGCGGACGGTTTACTTGTCGCGAACGTTTCCCGTATTTTTCCGCGTGGCATGGCAAACGCTTCGGTTCGGAACTGTTGAAATCTTCGTCGACCGTGACCCAAAATGTTTTAATCTCGATGGGTCTTCGAACAGTCGACGGCCTGTTTAAAGAGCAATCTGCGCGCGTGAAATCGTAAGATGACACTGTTTACACGATACTGCGGGGCACCGTGGACGGCAAAAGATACACATTAGGTTCCAAGGTACAGTAAATTCTCCCCTAATCGATTATAATCAGCTTGCACACGAAAATGGACAATTTGGGAGGAGGTACGATTATTCGAATTGCCCATTTTTGTGTACAATCAGAGCGTCAATTAGGGAAAATTTACTGTAAATCGTTGACAAGTTTATGTCAAGGTTATGTCAATATTTTAGAACATTATAAAATATTTTCTATAAAAAGAAAATACATATTAGGTTCCAAGGTACAGCAAATTTTCCCCTAATCGATTATAATCAGCTTGCACACGAAAATGGACAATTTGGGAGGAGGTACGATTATTCTAATTGCCCATTTTTGTGTACAATCCGAGCATCAATTAGGGAAAATTTACTGTAGATCGTTGTCCATACTAAAATGTTTGCTGGCATTTTAGATTCACTTTTTTGTTTCTTTATTTAATTGTTATATATATTATATATTCTATAAAAAGAAAATATTTTAGAATATTATAAAACATTTTCTATATTTTCTATATTTTTATAACAGAGGAAAAAAACATCGAAGAAGCAATATTTTCTTTTTATAGAAAATATTTTAGAATATTCTAAAAATAGAATATTTTATTTTTTTTTGTAAAAGAAAATATTTTAGAATATTCTAAAATATTGTCTATAAAAAGAAAATATTGCTTCTTTTTTTTAATAATATTCTAAAATATTTTCTGTAAAAAGAAAATATTGCTTCTTCGATCTTTTTTCCTCTGATATAAAAATATAGAAGATATAGAAAATATTTTATAGTATTCTGAAATATTTTCTATAAAAAGAAAATATTGCTTCTTCGATTTTTTTCCACTGCTCGGGTCACTGTGCGATCAGCCTCGATCGGCCCGCGAAGGGTCAAACACGAGTGCGGGTCACGTTGCCGGGATCTCGTGACCGTGTTGGTCACGCGCGTTTCTTTTCGGCCCCGGCACGAACGACGACGGGGCCTGTGAGAAACAATCTGCGGCTCAAGGGGTGAACAATAACGGCCATTTCCTCTTGTTACAGTGGCGCGGTGCTGGTCGTCGTTCCCTTATGTTGNTGTGTGCAGCTTGTATATACAGGGTGTCCCAAAAATGTCTCGCAATCCGAAAGTGACGGATTCCTCGGGTCATTTGAAGCAACTTTTTCCTTTACAAAAATTTTCTCCGAGGCACCGTTAACGAGTTATTAACGAAAAACAGTGACCAATGAGAGACGAGCTCAGCTGGCGCGAGGCGACCGAGCCAATTAGCGGAACTGGGCTTCGTGCGCTGGTTGGCTGGGCCGCCTCGCGTCAGCCGTACTCGATTCTTATTGGTCACTGTTTTCCGAGGAACCCGCCATTTCCGGATTGCGAGACATTTTTGGGACACCCTGTATGTACATATTTACACACATGTTCCCCTGGATTTTAGACGTGCATCATAAATGCACATTGAAGATTGCAATTGTTAGACCGTGGATTTTTGTGGAAAATAAAAATCGTCTGCGTCGATTGCAAGGAACAGAGACTCATTGCGGCTCGTTTTTATAATTGTGGACAATTTATAACTATAAAAATAAACTGCAAGGCTCGAATAATCGTATCTCCTCTTCCCAAATTGTCAATTTTTGTGCGCAATCTGGGCATCAATTAGAGAGACATTACTGTAGTACTCGAGAAACGCGTGGAGCGCGATTGTGTACGTCGATTTTTATTAAAGTAACAATTTCTTTATCTAAAAATAACGCTAAAATGAATAGTTTATTATTAATTACTCAAATACATATGAACGCCTTTCGAATATCGAAAGTCAATAAATGAATTAAAACTGCGATTGCAGTTACTTGTACGTCATAAATGATCAATATTAAACATATAAAAAATGATGGGATTAATTTTTAGAACATCGCACACTATAAAATGTTAGATTTTATTACTTTCATAAAATACCGCAGAATTTTATGTAACTCAACCTTAACTTAACTTACCCTAACCTAACCCTAACTCAGCTTGCCTAATTCCCCCATAAATGCGTGCGGTCTAGTAATTATCTGCGCGTCTGAGATAGGAAAAGAAAAAAAACTCGCGTAAGTGATGGCATCGTCTAGTACCTAACCATCGGTGAGAACAGATTATTGAATTACCATTGGAGCAAAAAGCGTATTAATTGCAGTTTACGGCAACAGCATATCGATTATCTAACGTGGCACGATCGAATAGAATGATTGATAAATTAGTTCGCCGACGGTAATGTTAATAGACAATCTTAATAAATATAAATTATCCGGCAGAGGATGATAGATCAGAATGATCCGTTAATCGGTATGCCCCGTTAGCTTGTTTGTTGTTGACGATCGACGCGGACGGTTTACTTGTCGCGAACGTTTCCCGTATTTTTCCGCGTGGCATGGCAAACGCTTCGGTTCGGAACTGTTGAAATCTTCGTCGACCGTGACCCAAAATGTTTTAATCTCGATGGGTCTTCGAACAGTCGACGGCCTGTTTAAAGAGCAATCTGCGCGCGTGAAATCGTAAGATGACACTGTTTACACGATACTGCGGGGCACCGTGGACGGCAAAAGATACACATTAGGTTCCAAGGTACAGTAAATTCTCCCCTAATCGATTATAATCAGCTTGCACACGAAAATGGACAATTTGGGAGGAGGTACGATTATTCGAATTGCCCATTTTTGTGTACAATCAGAGCGTCAATTAGGGAAAATTTACTGTAAATCGTTGACAAGTTTATGTCAAGGTTATGTCAATATTTTAGAACATTATAAAATATTTTCTATAAAAAGAAAATACATATTAGGTTCCAAGGTACAGCAAATTTTCCCCTAATCGATTATAATCAGCTTGCACACGAAAATGGACAATTTGGGAGGAGGTACGATTATTCTAATTGCCCATTTTTGTGTACAATCCGAGCATCAATTAGGGAAAATTTACTGTAGATCGTTGTCCATACTAAAATGTTTGCTGGCATTTTAGATTCACTTTTTTGTTTCTTTATTTAATTGTTATATATATTATATATTCTATAAAAAGAAAATATTTTAGAATATTATAAAACATTTTCTATATTTTCTATATTTTTATAACAGAGGAAAAAAACATCGAAGAAGCAATATTTTCTTTTTATAGAAAATATTTTAGAATATTCTAAAAATAGAATATTTTATTTTTTTTTGTAAAAGAAAATATTTTAGAATATTCTAAAATATTGTCTATAAAAAGAAAATATTGCTTCTTTTTTTTAATAATATTCTAAAATATTTTCTGTAAAAAGAAAATATTGCTTCTTCGATCTTTTTTCCTCTGATATAAAAATATAGAAGATATAGAAAATATTTTATAGTATTCTGAAATATTTTCTATAAAAAGAAAATATTGCTTCTTCGATTTTTTTCCACTGCTCGGGTCACTGTGCGATCAGCCTCGATCGGCCCGCGAAGGGTCAAACACGAGTGCGGGTCACGTTGCCGGGATCTCGTGACCGTGTTGGTCACGCGCGTTTCTTTTCGGCCCCGGCACGAACGACGACGGGGCCTGTGAGAAACAATCTGCGGCTCAAGGGGTGAACAATAACGGCCATTTCCTCTTGTTACAGTGGCGCGGTGCTGGTCGTCGTTCCCTTATGTTGAATTAATCGGCGAGCGTTCGGCCACTGATACATCTCGGGGCACTCGACGAGCTCAAACGAACCGCCGCGCTCACCACCATGGAGGTATTGTTGCACGAGGCGAGCAACGGCCAGGGAACGAACGGAACTACCGCCGGGAGCTACGCCGCTGGGAAACAGCTGGTGGCCAGAGAGAAACTGGAAGCCGCGAGGAGCGCCGAGAAAGGGGCGCGCTTCATGGAAACGGCCGCGGCCGACACCATTGACATCTCGTTCGACAGAATCACCTATACGGTGTCGCTCGGCTTCAGGAAAGGTCAGATTCGAAACCGTGGCACACTGCACCGGTCGCGACGCATGATTCAGGTTGCACGTGATCTTTATTGCTTTTTTTTAACGCTTAACAGACGGGTTGCTTTCTCTCCGTCTTTCTCGGTTTCCGGGGATTTTTGAAGAGAAATATACACGTATACAGGGTGTCCCGAAAATGTCTCGTAATCCGGAAATGGGAGGTTCCTGAGGTCATTTGAAGCAACTTTTTCCTTTGCGAAAATTTTCTCCGAGGCTTCGTTTACGAGTTATTAACGAAAAACACTGACCAATAAGAGGCGAGCTCGGCTGGCGCGCGGCGGCCCAGCCAACGAGCGCGCGGAGCCCAGTTCCGCTCATTGGCTCGGCCGTCTCGCGCCAAATGATCTCGCCTCTGATTGGTCACCGGTTTTTCGTCAATAACTCGTAAGCGAAGCCGCGGATTGCATTTTCGTTAAGGAAAAAGTTGCTTCAAATGACCTCAGGATTCCCCTACTTTCGGATTGCGAGACATTTTTGGGACACCCTTATATCGTTCCTTCCTTCTTTGCTTGCTTTTCTTTAACTTTTTTCTGCGTTTTTCGTTTATTATGTATGTAGTATATGTTAATGTTAAGTGAATGAGTAAATATTAATAATAAAATTGTTAATTTTATAAAATAAAACCGTGCTTTTGATCCAATGTTTTAACAGCGACACTTATTCTGTGTTTGACGAGTATACTCGTCATCGCTTAGTTCTCGCGATACAGATAGGCAGACGGTCGCCAGACATGAGCCACGGCATGGATGAGTTTGCTCGGAGATTCGAAGGAAAGTTTCTCTCATCCACGTAACCGTGATTTATCGTGGATTATGCAACGAATTGGAAAGCATGACAGACTCCGCGCGACCGATTCAATTGCGTCTATGCGCTTACTGCAACTTCAGTAGAAACGTAAAAATGCAGAAATTATCGTTGCGCGAGCAGGCGACAGAGACCAAACTATAATAAGGATTTATCTCACTGATAAATATAGTTATTATCATTATTATTATTATTATGAAATTCGAGATGTTATGTTAACGAGGAAAAATGTTTTTCCTCTAATTGAATGAATTAAATAAAATTCGAGATATATATTAATGAGGTAAAATGTTTCGATATATATTAATGAGGTAAAATGTTTCTCCTTCAATTGAGTGAATTAAATAAAATTCGATGACAGTGCTTCGTTGTTGCTTTATCGATGACAGTGCTTGAAACGTCGAGTTCTTCGACGTCTCTCTTCGTCGACCTTTTTCCTCAGCATGCTTGTCCTGCCCGTTAATCTTCAATTGTGCAGCGTTGCCTCTTCCATTCTGCGATCATCAGCTTCGATATTGTGTTTAGCTTAATCTATCCGTTGTGTTTAGGTTAATCTATCCGTTGTGCTTCCATTAATCCCCATTGCGCTTCCGCTTGTCCTTTTAATCCGCATCCATTCATTTCCCCATCGCTCAATCTGCCTTCGTTCCTCGCTATTTTATATCGGATCCCCTGCCCTTTCTTCCTCGAAGCTTTTCCACGTCTCCTCCGGCGTCTACTTTTCCCTATTAGTCGCTCAACCCTTTCCTCATTAGTTCCTCTCCACTCGTCGCTAATTCTCCCACTCCTTCGTCGGCTCCTCCCTGCTTCATTGTCATCGATTCGCTCATTCTTTCCCCATCATTTCTTCGTTACGCCCCCCTCCACCCACTTTTCTCCCACTTCTCGTACTTTCTCTTTCCATTAAATCTTAATCCTCCATGTGTGTGGGCCGAATTTTTTTCTTAAATGTAAAAAAATTTATGCAACGGAAAATCTATTATTATAAATGCTAATGCTTTTAGCATTTATAATAATATTATATATTATATAATAATAATATTATATAATTTATATAGATTTTAGCAAGCTATTATATATGCTAATTAAAGAAATATTTAACAGTTTAAACAACTTTATTATAATTAATTCAATTCGTAACTTTGAAGTAACAACGGCTTACAATGTTGCCGTTTGAATTTGGCGTTGAACATTGATTTATGTTGCATTTGGAACTAGTTGCCAAATAGTTTTTTGTGGTCCTGAATTTTCCTCGTCTGATGATAATTCGTTACTAAATTCATCGTCGCTGTCAATAATATTTATGCATCGTCTCGTCTAATTCTAATTCTTCTTTTATTTTTATATGATTTTGTGACCATATTTTGGGTATTTGATATATAAATATGAAAACAGAAGAAAGCACAACTATTATCCTAAATAGACTCTAATCTACCAAAATATCCCAATGTAACCTGAAAGTTACAAAACTGTATCATATAGAAATAGTAACAAAATGATTATTGAAATGCAAATAAATAAATTCTTATCGATATACGAACTTAGAGCTATTATATACGCTCTTTTTTTACTTAGCAAACACCGACAAAAGCACAAATAATCTCAATTGCACAAGATGGTCCCTTTGGTTTCTATCTGCAGACAGAACTGGCAAGGTATTTATTTTGACATTTCAGGTTGATGGTGCTGCCAACCGTCATCAATATTGTTATCGGTTATTTGAGAAGCATTATACTACAGGCTGTCCCGAAAATGTCTCGCAATCCGGAAATGGGATTATTTTGGTCATTTGAAGCAACTTTTTCCTTTGCGAGAATTTTCTCCGAGGCTTCTTTTACGAGTTATTAACGAAAAAAAACGACCAATAAGAGGCCAGCTCGGCTGGCGCGCGGCGGCCCAGCCAACGAGCGCACGGAGCCCAGTTCCGCTCATTGGCTCGGCCGTCTCGCGCCAAATGATCTCGCCTCTGATTGGTCACGGTTTTTCGTTAATAACTCGTAAACGAAGCCGTGGATTGCATTTTCGCTAAGGAAAAAGTTGCTTCAAACGACCTCAGGAATCCCCTACTTTCGGATTGCGAGACATTTTTGGGACACCCTGTATAATTAAGACGTATACATCATCTTGTGAAAAAGAACTAAAACTATTTGGTAAAATGTGGATATATTAGCTTGTGATTTGAAAATTACATGGGCCCCATAGAGAGTTAACTCAAATAAAACCGTTTGTTATCTCGTCCTAAATAAAATTGTCCCATTCACGGCTCCAATTCTCTTCTGTACATTGTCAAAAATTACCAAGAAAAGGAGACGTTCGCAACAGCAACGCGGACCCCAAAGAGATCCCGAAGAAGTCGGTGTATTCAACAAATTTTAGGAAGACGACGTGTGTGGTTCTAGGTCAGAAAGAGATACTGCACGGAATCAACGGAAGACTTCCGACGAGGAGGCTGACGGCCTTGTTGGGCCCGTCCGGGGCAGGGAAGTCGACTTTGCTGGACGTTCTCTCGGGTTACAAAACGACCGGCGTGAACGGCAACGTTTGCGTGAACGGCCAGACGCGGGACATGCACGCATTCCGGAAGTGAGCCCCGACTGTATTTCACCCGAATCTACCGAAACGAATTTAACATTTAACTTAACGGGCTCAGGTCCCCCGCGGCTGGCCACCGTTCTGATTCTATTCAATTGAACGTCGCAGATGCAGCACGTACATCACGCAGGACGATCGGCTGGAGCCGTTGTTGACGGTCGTTGAGAACATGAGGGTGGCCGCTGACCTCAAGCTGTCGACCAAGATCCCGCGATACGAAAAGGAGACGATAGTGAGTAACGCTTAGATCAGTTTGCTCGGCTCCGATCGTCAATATTTTGAGTTGCGACGCTTGGTCGTTGCGGCGCTATTATACGTCTTTGAACTCGTTCGCATACTTATAGGGTGTCCCAAAAATGTCTCGCAATCCGGAAATGGCGGGTTCCTCGGATCGTTTGAAGCAACTTCTTCCTTTACAAAAATTTTCTCCAAGGCACCGTTAACGAGTTATTAACGAAAAACAGTGACCAATAAGAATCGAGTACAGCTGACGCGAGGCGACCCAGCCAACCAGCGCGCGAAGCCCAGTTCCGATCATCGGCTCGGTCGCCTCGCGCCAGCCGAGCTCGCCTCTCATTGGTCACTGTTTTTCGTTAATAACTCGTTAACGGTGCCTCGGAGAAAATTGTTGCAAAGGAAGAAGTTGCTTCGAATGACCTGAGAAACCTGTCACTTTCGGATTTGTGAGACATTTTTGGGACACCCTGTATGTAGGCATTGTATAAGAAGAATTCTGTTTTCCGCGTGGGTTTCGCGAGGACAGGCGACACCGAAAACGTTTACTCGTCCACGCGTATCGCGGAAACCGATAAATTCTCGGTGGAAACCGTTCGAAAAAGTGAACGTGTTATTTCAGATCGCGGAGATTCTTAGGACTCTGGGCCTGCACGAGCACGCACACACGAGGACGGAGAGGCTGAGCGGAGGTCAAAAGAAGAGACTGTCCATCGCTCTGGAGCTGGTCAACAATCCTACCGTTATGTTCCTCGACGAGCCGACCACGTACGTGTGATATGTACAGGGTGTTCCACGATTATTTTAACAGCCGAAAATAAGGGATAGCTGAGGTCATTCGAAGTAACTTTTTCCTTTGTGAAAATGCAATCTGCGGCTTTGTTTACTAGTTATTAACACGAGATTAACGAAAAGTTATTAACAAGAATTTAACCTTGACCAATGAGAGATTCTAATGTATTCTCAAAACGAAGGATTTCGCCTTTCCATGCCGAATAATTGGATTAATTCGCATACTGCTAGACACTGATTTGATGTTTCTTTTAATTGAAGCCCTAAGCGTGACTGATGCATATTATTTCATTGTGATGACAAGACCGAATTCATTTATTATATATAAATGAATTCCTATTGTAATATATTATACCAATATTTATACATTAATAATATACAATAATATTTATACATTAATAATATATAATAATAATATTTATACATTATTATTTATATATTGTTAATAATTCATAGTAATGACAAGACCATTCATTTATAATATACAAATGAATTCCTATTGTAATATATTATAACAATATTTATATATTAATAATATATAATAATAATATTTATACATTATTATTTATATATTGTTAATATATTATATATATATAATTTATTTCTTTATTTTAATTTTTTTTAATTCTTTAAAAAACATTTCTATAAACTTTTTCAACGAAACATATATTATAATAGGAATCATTGATACGATAATATAAATGATAATATGACATACGATATACCGATCAGGTGACGATTTAAGTACACCGAGTCACAAAAGACCCGGTGACCGCAAATCAAGGGTTAAAGGAACGAACCGAGTCGTTCAAAATCCGCTCACTTTTCGCAGAGGTCTGGACAGCTCGTCCTGCATGCAAGTGGTGAATTTGCTGAAGCTGTTGGCGCGTCAAGGAAGAACGATTGTCTGCACGATACATCAGCCTAGCGCGTCCTTGTTCCAGCTATTCGATGTGGTAATGTGATAATGTCGTTGTGTTCTTACTATTACTTTTTCATTCGTTCACGCACTTCTAAAAATATGCTTTCACAAATTTTGTTATACGTTCGAAAGGAACCCCTACGAAATCCTAAAGATTCTCGTTATAAAGAGTGAATCACAAATTAGCCCCCCTCCACCCCGATTTTTCAACCCCTTTCGATGGTCTGACGAAAAATTGTTTCCTGTCAAAGTTAGTTAACCGGCAAGAAATTGCAATTGGTGAGATTTCAATTAAAAATTGCTTTTCGATAAAGAGCAAGATCGCCGTTGTACAGGGTGTCCCAAAAATGTCTCGCAATCCGAAAGTGGCGGGTTCCTCAGGTTATTCGAAGCAACTTTTCCCTTTACAAAAATTTTCTCCGAGACACCGTTAACGAGTTATTAACGAAAAACAGTGACCAATGAGAGGCGAGCTCAGCTGGCGCGAGGCGACCGAACCAATGAGCGGAACTAGGCTTCGTACTCGATTCTTATTGGTCACTGTTTTTCGTTAATAACTCGTTAACGATGCCTCGGAGACAATTTTTGTAAAGGAAGAAGTTGCTTCTAATGATCCGAGGAACCCGCCATTTCCGGATTGCGAGACATTTTTGGGACACCGTGAATTTTTAAATGAAAAACCAAATTCTTCAAAATTCTTCCAAATTTTTCCAAATTCCAATATCAAATCAAATTCTTCACGTGCGTTCATAATTTTATATTTCAACCGCTGCGCCTCGTAAACTTCAGTTAACCGTCATTACGTTACAGTTAACCTTTAATGTCTCTACCTTTAACCAACGCAGCTTGAACTCGCGCCGATGTCGATAATTGATGTATATGTATATGGTCCAGTTTGCTAATCTTGCGCAAAAACGACGATCTGCGCACCAGGATGACAAATCGTTGCCGTTGGAATCGCGATTGAATATCGATAATAAGCTCCAATTGACGTGGCTTTGAATATTCATAGCGAAGCTGGTAATACAGACGACCGCTTTAATTCGCTCGTCAACCGCGAATCGGTTGAATTCTATGAATTTTACTGCGTGCTAATGATATACGACGATCGAATTTTTATTGCACGGGCTCGAACGCGATCGTTTTTTGTCGATATTATATATATATATATATATCGATATATATAAATTGAGAGAGAGAGAGAGAGAGTACCCTTAATTTAATAATAAATTAGTATTCAATTAGTAGTTAATCAGTATTAGTATAGACATAATTCATACGTATCGGTGTTCATTTTACGATCATAATTGCTGCAATATATTTAATTACATATAATTAATTTAATTATAATAATTGTTCCAATTACGACCATAATTGACCACTGCTGGTCCCCACGTTTTTACCATATTTTCACCGGAGACAAAAATCGTGTGTCGACTTATGGAGGTCATTGCGAAGAGAAAGCAAGCTTCGGTCTTCAAGTGCCATTGTTTATGTTTACATGCAAGGCCTCGGTGTTATGCGCCGCCGAATTATTGCAAATATCGTGGCAATAGATTCATGGCAATTTTCCGTTCAATGTCAGCCGAAGATCGTCGTGTAGCAGGCCGTTGAATTCGTCTCGACGTCGCCTATAATACTATGAAGTTAAAATTACGTAGTTTCATTTAAAAATATAACAGTGACTTTGTCCTTTTTTATCGAAAACCAATTTGTTTTTAAATCTCAACGATTGCAATCTCTTGTCGGTTAAATACTAATTAGCTTCGACAGGGAACGTTCTTTGTGACTCACTAATTTGTGACTCAGCCTGTACATATTAAATACATTACATTTTAATTTGTCACAAATTCTACATCACATGAGGAGATAAAAATACGTACAGTCTATTCACTATGTACTATTTATCAAGCTTCGAAATGAAATATATGCAGTTTTCTTTTTATTCTCAATCATTTCTTACGAGATCGCAACGGCTACCTTGACATAACCTTGTTCTTTTTTTTTTATCGAAAATCAATTTGTTTTTAAATTTAAACAATTACAATTTCTTGCCGGTTAAACACTAATCAAATTCGACAGAGAACATTTTTTGGTCAGACCATCGAAAATCGAAATCTTAAAAAAATATTAAATTAATCTATACAAAATATTAAATATTTTCTATGAAGCGAAATTTTTCGAACTTCGCCGATTTTTTCCTGAACAAAGTGTGTCAACGAAACTTGAGCTCACCGTCCAAATCTTTCGTGACTGCGGTCAATCCGGTCACTCCGGTGTCGTTTCGGTTGTTTCAGCCGTGTCGCAAAAATAATTTTGCCGTCTCTGCCACTTTGTCTCGAACGATCACAGTGATTACAAGCATATAATTGAAGCGTTCGTTTCATCGACAGGTTTACGTATTGGCGAAAGGCGAGTGCTTATACCATGGCACGACCGACAAGCTGGTGCCCTATTTGGAATACATCAAGCTGCCCTGTCCTATGTATCATAATCCAGCCGATTACAGTAGGTCCCTTCTATGAAATTAAAACGTGTAAAAAACGCGCTCCCTTACCACGAACCTCCTTACTTAATTATACGCACGAAACAGCAATTTGCATCAATCTTTGCGTGCCAGCAGTGCCACCGGTCTGACACTGATTGCGTATATATAATATATAATAATCCTTTATATTAATATTATTATTATATTATATTATATATATATATATATATATATTAATATTATATTATTATATATATAATAATATTATATTATACATATAATATAATATAATAATATTTATTATAATAATAATAATAAAAAATATAATTAAAATATATAATAATAATAACATTATTATTATTATATATTATAACAATAACTTTTCCGTTCGGTCCCAAGGTTGACGGAGGCCGAATTTTTTTTGCGTAGGACGAAAAAAGGATACATAATAAATTCTCCCAGTTTGTCACTCAGCTTGTAAACAGAAATGGAAAATTTTTGGCAAGAGGAGACGCGATTAGTCGATCCTCGAGAACTCGTTTCTATAGACAAGGTTATGTCAATAAAAACGAGCCGCGATGATCGAACAATCGTATCCCCTCTTCCCAAATTGTCCATTTCTGTTTACAAGCTGAACGACAATTGGAGACAATTTACTGCACACAGTTTTGCGAAATAATAGGTCGTCAAAGAAAGGATACATATTAAATTCTCCCGATTTGCCTCTCAGCTTCTAAACAGAAATGGAAAATTTTTGGCAAGAGGAGACGCGATTAGTCGATCCTCGAGAACTCGTTTCTATAGACAAGGTTATGTCAATAAAAACGAGCCGCGATGATCGAACAATCGTATCCCCTCTTCCCAAATTGTCCATTTCTGTTTATAAGCTGAGCGACAATTGGACAGAATTTACTGTTAATAGCTTTGCGAAATAATAGGTCAAAAGAATGCATAAAATGGGATTATAAAATTTCGTCTACGATTTGATGTACTTTGCTAATGTTGTTGTTGAACCAACAACGTTTTCTGTGTTTCTTGAAACGCGAAACGGGTGCCGAAAATTTTTAACGACTCCGAAATGCGTAGAAGTCTGTACTTCAGCGATTTTGTTCGCGATTACAGTTATTGAACTGGCTTGCGGCGAGTACGGAGAGGACAAAGTGGCAGTCCTGGTGTCAAACTCCCAAAACGGCAATAACATCGGATGGTTCAACAGTTTAGACGTCATGGATGCAACAAGTTTGAGAGGTACGTAAATAATTTTTATTCCGTGACAAGCAGAATAAATTGTTGTGTCTCAAAAATGTCTCGCAAACCGGAAATGAGAAGTTCCTGGGATCAGTTGAAGTAACTTTTTCCACAGCGAAAATGTAAACCGTGGCTTCGTTTACGAATTATTGACGAAAAACACTGACCAATGAGAGGCGAGCTCGCCCAGCGCTTGGCGACCGAACCAATGAGCACACGAAGCCCAGTTACGCTCATTGGCTCGGCCGCTTTGCGCCAGCATATCTCACCTCTCATTGGTCACTCTTTTTCGTTAATAACTCGTAAACAAAGCCGAGGATTGCATTTTCGCCAAGGACAAACTTTCTTCAAATTACCTCAGGATCCTCCCATTCTCGGATTACGACACATTTTTGGGACACCTTATTTATTATATTATATATATATAATATATTATATATATATAATATAATATATTATATAATATATAATAATTATATATTATAAATTAATTATATAATATAATATAATATATTATATAATATATTTATTATATTATATTATATATATATATATATATATATATATATA